AACAAACAGAATAAACAGTTGCTATGCTAATTTTAATTCTGGCCAAGAAATGTGCAATGATGGAAGAACAAAAAAGCCTCAAGTGACACTAGGAGTTGTAATCTCCCGTGACGTGAAGTCAGATCAAATTGACTGAATTAAATTAAGCTAGAAGGAGAATGTATCTGGAAGCAAACATAGCATAGTCCAGAGCTTGAGGAATCCCTTTGTGTTTCACAGTTCTTTCTTCCCAAAGGAGAAAGGTAAATAGTGTTTCAGTCTTGCTCACAGCTGCACACTGCACAGCCCCAAAGTGAGGAATCTGTAAATAGGATGCCTTAAAGAATACACAATATCTTTTGTTTTGCCACTTTTGGCACTGTTCTGCAAGCCTGAAATCTCCCTGGCAAAGATAAAGCATATGGCAAAGTTGTCTCTTTAGTTTTGGTTACCCTGTAAATCTAAGAAGATGTGGGAGGTTCAAAGGGAGAAGATGTTTTAGAGGTTCATCTGAACAGATCCTCTTTGAACCATCCCCAATATGTGGGCTTGGTAAGATGGGATGATGTCCCCTCATAGACGCAGGGTCTGCAGAGAAGTGATCTTCATTCTGTCCTGAGACAAGGGATGTCATATAAGAATTTTTGCAGCTCTACAAAAGGGGTGAGCAAAGTCTGGCCTGCAGGCCAGATTGGGCCCACAGTGGACTCCATTTCCCAGCAGCCCCTGCCTGTGTCCAGGACCAGGCCAAGAGTTGGGTTCTTGCAGAGTTGACAGCACAGGGTAGAGCTGGGATAGAGCCACAGTCCACTGCCAAATGCCTCTGTGATGAGCATGGGTTCCACAGGCAGGGACATGCACGCTGCAGATCATGGCTCTGTCCTGACTTTGCCCCCTGCTGTCAGGTCCAGGAGATCCTGGCCCTAGCCCCAAACGCAGCTCCCCTCCCAGCCACACGCCCTGCCAGCGCCGGTTGGGCCAGTCTCGATGGAAACCCTAGGAGCACAGAGCTGTCAAGACCCCTCGCTGTCATGGCCCATGCCACTCCTGGGGTCTCTATGGAGACCAGCCTGAGCAGTGCAGGCAGGGGCTGCTGGGGAATGGAGTCTGTAGGGTGACCATTCATCCCTAATTGGGCAGGGTAGTCCCAAAATGGGAACATCAAGTTCAGGTCCTGGGTTGCATGACTCTGGGATAGCATTTGTCCCAGTTTCACAGTGTTGTTAAGGGATCTGGCTTTTCTGTTCACTGCAGAAACATGTGAGAAACAGTGGGTTCCCCTTGCAGCCTGGCAGAGTTCCAGCCTGCAAGGGGCTGCAGGGAGTGGGATGCAGGGGGCGCCACATGCATGTGTGTACACGCACATGCATGTGACCAGAAATACAGCCCCAGGCAGGGATGGAAAGCAGCTCCCCCACTGCCTGCAGGTAAGGCTATGGGGGATACAGATTGAGGCCTCCATGGTGAGGGAGGGAGTGGGGTAGGGTCGGCAGCTGAGGCTGGAGGTGCTGCCCAGCCAGGGCGGTGTTCAGGGGGCCCAGAACAGGAATGTGTGGCAGCAGGGCTTAGCCGGGGAGTGGGATGGACCCATGGATGGCTGGGTGGAGGGCAGTTCCCTGCTGTTGTGTGCATACCCCAGGATGGGGGGAGAAGGGGTCTTGTGCATCCCAGATTTGTGTGCAGGGTGGGGGAGGATGTGGGTTTAAGGCTTCCTGCCCTGCTGTCCTGTGCACAAGGTGTTCCATGCCTGCCCAGTGGCAACAGCATGGAGTTGTGCCCCCTTCTGCTGTCAGGGGGGCAGGGACAACCTCACCATGTTGGTGTGCCTGCCGCGAGGCTCCTAGGGGCAGGACAGCAGGATGTTGGGGGGAGCCCTGATCCCACAGTGGGCAGCCTGCATCCACCTCTGCCCCTCCACGGGTTCTGCTCAGCTCTGCTCCAGCCGTGCTATGGGAGGGGTGGGTGAGAACGTGGGCATGCGTCCTGCATTCCAATTTGTCACCCTAGAAGTCTGGCCTCTGGTCGGACCTGCCATTTTGCCTAAACCTGCTCTACAACCTCCTCTGAAGAAGCTTATTCTATTAGGAAAGGACCCATTCTAGTAATCTGCAGGACCTCAATGAAAGCTACAGATGCCATCTATCTGAAGACACTGAAAAATAATGAAAAAATTATATTACTTCCATGACAAATTCCTCACCCTCCCAGTGCTGCAGGGAGTTGGATCCCCCCGTGTGCTACTTCCTTGAGCTGATGTTGCATGGATTCTAGGTCATCAGCAGAAGCCAGGAGTAAGTAATATGGGAAGAAAGAGGTGAAAAGGCAGTACCAGGGAAGCATATAGCAGGGAAGAGGATCTGTATGTGACTCCATGAACAATGATATGGCTTCACATTTAGAAACAGTACAAGTACAAAAGTCTTATTTGTGGTGTGCTACCTACCACTACCCACCCTACTGCTAACTGATAAGTACACCCAAACTTATTTGGAAAGCCTCCAAAAAGTCTAGATTTTTTCATTTCTGACAGCAAAGTTATCTTCAGCTACAACAACCACAAGTGGTTGCACAAAAATGGATGATGAGACTCTCAGACATAGGAATAGCTCACTGGATTTAACACCCAAGAAAGAGACAGGGAAGCAGAGACTAATGCATCATTTGTCATATCCAGAGGGTGATTCAGTTAATGATTTCATATATCTAGAGGTATGTTCACTGTCACACATAATGCTAAATTAGGCAATTTGCCTGATTCAAAACTGGGGTCATGTATCTATCTCAACCAAGTGTGACATAAAAGCCTGATAACGTTTTTCTTAAAACCAGGGTGACTGGATTTAGAGCCTTTGGGTGTTCATTTTTAAAGGAAGTATGACAATGGCTAATCCTTGCTCCCCCACTGGATATAGGAGACATGATTCTAAGCATTTAGGCATTAATACATCAAAAACATTGAATTACAAAATACTTGGGACCACAGGTTAAATTTTAGCAACTGTCCATACAGCCTACCCTTTTCTCAGGCATGTAATTGATGTCCTACATGGGTTATTTCATGGAGACCTCAAAACCTGAATTCCTGCCTGCTTTGTGCAGATTTTCAGGACTCAATCCAGATCCTAATGAATTCATATTTTTCCTATTGACTTCAGTACCTGCACTGACCCCAGATGTCCCTTTACACTTGTTTTAGGAAAAGAAACCTGCCCCAGTATCTTTATCCCAAATTTTCTATCTCCTATCATGCAACAGAGTCATTTTCCTCCGCAGAATTGGAGGCATTTTAATTATACTGCAAGAACTAGGTTTTTTAATGCCTCGGTATCCCAGGTACCAATGTATATATTATCAGCTGTTTGGCTAATGTCTTGTTAAAGCCTTTAATAGAATTACATTTTATTGCAGAGTGACTGGTGATTTTTTTCATTCTGAGCCTGGGGAATTTTACAATAATCAGACATCAAAAAAGGTGTTGGTCATGTCACAGAAATATCCATTCTTTGGCAGTTGAACGGAGCTATGAAAAGGCAGCTCCTGAGAGATAAAGTTGGTCTTAGTAGAAAAGGCACCTCAGGCCACAGGAGAAACTGTGAACAGTACTAGGTATAGGAGAGGAAGCCTTAATACCACAATGAGAAACGCTTAAACAGTTTCATCTGTGTTATCACACCTTTACTTGTTAAATAACATTTCCAGATTTTAAGTATTCTGCAGGAAGTAACCATAGCTACTGTTAGTGCAAAGGCTGATTTTTAAACAGTCACTGAAGTAGTCAAGCATGGAAAAGATACAGAAACATATTTATGCCTCAGTTTGACAAAGACAAAATACAGACATGGAAGTCCAAGTTTGAAATGGGCCCAGTGTCTATTTTCATTGGGGATGTTGAACCTCATGACATTTTGAGGAACTCTTAACCTTTTTCTCAGTGTTACAAAACTAGCTTAAGTCTGTAGATCACTTTATTTTCTATTATTAAAAGCCATGTTTCTTTCACTTCCCTTATTTTACAACAGGTCTTTCATTTTTTAAAAAATGAATAGTTTCCCAGTTAAAAGAAAGCATATATAGTGCTTTATGGTTAAAGATATCCCTCTTGTACCGAAACCCTTTCTCTCTCCTTGAAAACTAACATTTTCAAATTCATATGATATGAGAACATTAAAAATGAGATAAAATGAGTCTCCTCCATACCTAATTTTCAGGGCAGGCAACATGCCGACTTATAATTGCAACGTCATAGGTCCAGCTGGGCTAGTGAAGAATATTATCCTGGTAAGTATCCCTCCCACATCCAGTTCTTCATGATAGAAGAAAATGGACTTGGGCAAATCTATTTCCATCCACTGAGCAGATCTGCAGTGGACTTGGGTAAGCAGCCAGTAAATACAAATGGAAGCGAATCAGTCAAGCCTATTTTCATGGAGTTTTAATTATTTACACGTAATTTTACATTAAATTATATACTAAGAAATGGACAGTGTGAAGCCTTAGTGGTTCTTGTATCTACTCTAAAATAACAATGGACCACTACCAAACCCAGTTCAGCTTTAAAAATAGGCAAGGATGGATGCACGGTGTACAGGAGTTTTACATTTTTTGCCAGCCGTGCTAATGCGCAGTAGAATTAGCCCATTGGGCATTAAGCGCCTCATGCAGACATGCCCAGAAAGAGGTATTCCATAACCCCATTGGCATCTAAAATCAAGTATAAATTCAGAAAATGAGAAACAAGAAATCCTAGTTTAAGAAGGAAAAATTGGATGGCCTAAGAGCCTGATTCCAAATCCCACACTCACACCTAGTATATCAGTGCCATCAAGTAGTCACATTGACTTCAGAGAAGCTATTTGAAAATCAAGGTACTGTTCAATATGACTAAATGTATCAGAAGTTGCTCCTAATAAGAATGTAATACTGTCTGCTTTTGAAGTATTTTGATTTAGTGTGCTGTGTTTGCAATGTTTGTGACATGAAACAGAACAAACATACCAGCATGTCTTGATTATTTTTTTTAGGAAGTTATGATGGTGACTTTGCTGCGATGACACTTAAGTCACCAAAAGGTACTGTATTCTTTTGCTCTTTTGTTCCAACTAAAATCAAATCCAGTTAAGCTTTAATAATCTTCAGGTTTTTTTGCACTGGTGCAGATTGACATCAACTATATGATTTTTTCCAACAATACTAATATGAAACAATTAGGCAAATGATGTGAATGAATCCTATATTGTAAATATAAATAGCAGCTGTTATCAATCTGCCATTTTGGTTCTGCAAAGGATGTTCCAAAAAGAACAAACATATATATGAAAGAAATTTCATAGAGATTACTGATTTACTTCTACTCATTTATACTTCAATAATGAAAAGGCTTGGGGCGAAAGAGTGCAGTAACATGATTCACACTGCACACAAGGAATTTTTCCCCATTTTTGGGGGGTAGGGACAGTGAAGAAGTAACAGAGCTGAAAAATTGAATTTGCTGAAATATTGGCTGTGTTACTACAGCAACTAAAATCTCCACTACAATATCAGCAGCATAAACCAGAGCCTCCCATCAGCATGGTTACACTGAATAAGACTTGTGCTTTTTATAAAGGAAATGTTTACATGACTTTTTAGGATATACAAGCTCCTATCATGAAAAGTGTGTTTGATCCCACAAGCCACAGAAGAGCCACCATACTGGGGAAGGCAAACTAGTCTGGGATGATCTCACTTATTTCCGCTGCAGACAGTCCTACATCTTTGGCTCTTTCATTCTATGAATAATGCAGGGAAGGAGAATGATCAAAGTCGTTTTGATTACAGTCCTTGCTAGTTAGTGAGGAGGAGAGGAATTGAGACCTTATGAAGGGAAACACTTGCTTAGGTGAAAAAATTATTGCTTTTGATTAAAAGAACTTTCAACCATGGGGCCTAACTGTTTAATCAGCCTGCTCCTTTACAGTTTCTACCCTTTCTGTCAGTCACAAATTCCCTTGGTGTTAAAAGTAGTGAATGATTCAGTTCACAAGTTTGGGGGAGTTTTGCTTTGCCACTGGGGTTGGAAGAAGACTCCAGATTTTGCCTAGTTAGGAATGTCAATCAGATAAAGTTGGTTTTCTTCCAGAACTGCAAAACAACCAAGGTTCAGTGTAAAATTTCCCCGAATTTTGTTTGAAATGCATCCCTTCTTTGCCAAAAGTTTTAGGAACTCAAAACTGGCCAAACTACAATGAAATAATAAAAAATGAAGCTGATGTATGGAGAGGGAAAGAGAAAAGAAAGAAAATGAATGCATGTGGTATAGTTTTACTTCACATTTTTCCTTGCTACTCCTTAACATTTAAAAAAAAAAAAAAAATGAATGCATGTGTTATAGTTTTACTTCCCATTTTTCCTTGCTTCTCCTTAACATTTAAAAAAAAAAAAAATCAACAGCTGTCTAATGGATTTAATTTATGCTACAGTTAAGGTTTCAGAAAAGGACATGACTTCAGCTCAGAGCACTGGTGTAGTTGTTAATAAACAGATTAAAGGAAAATTAGTCTTGCAAAGGCAAAAATAGTATATAAACCAATACCACTTTAGTCTGAAAGTAAAATTCTTTTCTCAGAAGCAGTGGTGTACATCTGGAATGACTGAATTACATAACATATGATCCTAGAACTGAACTGTGGTGTGCAGCTTCTCCAGCTTCTCATAGTGAGAAGCATTTTTAACTAACTAGGGCAGGGATGGGCAATTATTTTGGCTGGAGGGCCGCTTAACAAGTTTTGGGGCGCTGTCGAGGACCACAAGGGTAGCCCCACCCTTTCACAGGTACCCTGCCCCCTGGTTGCCAACTTGGGACAGGAAGTCCCAACTTCTGACCTTTGCCACCAGAAGTCTCCTCCCGTTGCCCTCAGAAGTACTCCTTTTAGGAAGCAGGCTTGCCATCTTGGAACTGGAAAAAAAACAAATTGATATACTAAAAATCAAAGCTCCACAATGACATATTTTAATTTTATTTAAAAAAATATATTTTGTCCTGATTTGTGTGTGGTTGTGTTGTGTATAAAGAGATGATTTTATAATAGTTCAAAATGAAGTCTTACTCTTGTATAATTGGAGATGTGTGGGGGTATGGGTGGGTGGGTAGGGGGTTTGTGGGGGGCTGTGGGTATGTGTATGTGCTTGCATG